AAGTTGTTTGCGATATCGATCTCTATAATTTTTGTTTATACATGATTTTTCTAAAATGGACCGTAATGGAAAAATTATAGGAAAAGTGCTAAATTTAAATTTTTCAGTATTTTCGTTTTCAATGAATATCTATAGAAAAATGTTTCGAGGTAGATGTATGTGGAAAATGTATATATTTAGTTGATCCTCTAAACATTTATAGAGGTGCTGCAATAGGTTGTACAAAATAATCTGAAAAAGCCTGTAATAACTAGATAGGAAAGTCATGTGTTGGACACATCAGATTTTTGGAATAGATATTACGGTATAAGATCGAGTATGTATATTTTTAATTGTGATTTTTACTATTTGCAATAACAATAAATAAACAAAAATGTGTTGATCCCAACAAAGTACTTTGTGGTATACTCTAGGTTTTATTAGTTTACAATTGCTGATTAAAAAAAGACGAACTAAAAAGCAAATTGTACAAATTCGTTCAAAACAATTTTTAAATCGTTTCATTTACTAATAAGAACATAATCAAATGATCAATAATGATATAAAGGCAGCCTGCAGTTTATATACTTCATTATTTAATAAATAACATATTTCTTTGTTCATTATTTATAAATTTAGTAAATCTATGAAAGTAGGTAATACATCTTCTTTGTTATATATAAATAAATCCAGTTCAATTCTATATATAAGTATACAATAAATATTGAAGTTCCAATCCATTGTCTTCTCCAAGACACCTTTGGAATTTGAAACCATATTTTTTTACAAATAACATATACGGGGGCATTTAATAAATATATTCTCCGTATGGATTGAAAACAGAGGTTTCATTCTTTCACCAGACTTGATGCCGCTTTATTTTTTCCTTTAGGGTTATTTAAGGAATTTTCAACCCTCAACAGGACTGTACTTGTTTTAAGTCTTATAAACTTAATTTTTATTTTCATTGAATACATTATAATTACTAATTTCAGCAGCAGAACATTCTGGAGTATCAACTTCGAAGGTTTCATCGAATTTCGAATAGTTAACGGTATAACCAGACTTTTCTTCGCATACAGACATCAAAGATTTGAACCTATGTCCCCAAAGTATCTCACTAGCTAAATAACTCGATCTGGCTTGCGTTTTTTGATCAGTACTTTCAATAGTACCTTCCAAACTAACCACAATTTCAAAATGTTGCTTTACCAGATCATTTTTCGTCATACGATATAGCGGTGAATGTTGAGTTATTTTATGGACTATCATCATTGGCCAGATCAGGAATAGATCGTTGTCACAATCGTCTGCAGATAGATTCAGCTTTGTTAGGTACTTAGAAAACTGTTCGCCTTCTTTTGATGCTTTTTCCGATATAAATTGTGCTTTTATTTTGGCTTCTAGTATACGACTTTTGCTACGCATATCTCCTAATCTAAATATTAAACATAGGGCATCTTCCCTCATAGATATCACAGCGTGTTTGGAGAATTTGATAGTTTGCGCTCTGTGCTTTGGTCTAACTAATTTAGCGAAAATTACTCCAACTAAAATTGCGTCTACTATCAACCCGACAACATTTTGAATACACATAAGTATCACAGCATCAGAGCACTTTTCGGTAGGTCTTTTCTCGCCATACCCAGTAGTTTGCTGGGTCTCCACTGAAAACAAGAAACACGAAGTAAAATCGTAAATATCCGTCACGCATGGAGTCCAATTGGAGGCTTTTTGGTACTTTGGAAGGTGGTTGTCTTCAAGGTCTCCATGATAGAAGGCTATCAGCCACCACAAGACGGCGAAGCACGTCCAAGTAATCACGAAGCCAAAAATGAATATAGTAAGGGTGTATCTCCATTTCAGATCGACCAAAGTAGTGAAAATATCTTTGATGAAGTGCTTTTTTGGTACTCTGGAAGGGTATATGTTGCATTCGCCTGTTTTGGATACAGCTCTGATGTAATGGGGTTTTCGAAAGGTTATTCTAAAACAAAAACAATAATAGATATAAGCAATCAAAAGCAATAGTCATGGTAAGTGGGTCAATTGAGGAATTATAGACATATTTCAACTAGGTCTTTTATTAGTGTCCTTATACAAACAGGGGTCTATTCTGTATCACAGTTGCTACTAAGCAAGTTTTTATATTGCCAGAATCAGAACTCCTTCTCTAAGTAAACAACCAAACAGTTTTGATAAATTCTGAGATAGAAATATTGATTTTTTGATAATAAATATTTTAGTAGACTAAAAAATTAATGGGATGTATGTGTATTGATAAGATAATAAAAACATTAGAAGTTAGAAGGTACGTATATAATTTTTTTCTACTGGTTTGTTTTAGAAACGAAGTAAAATTTCAGCAGAGACTACTACTTATTCTTGCTTGCGATCTGTATCTGTAAAGTAAAGAGAATGGGTTGCAATACACATCACTTAGGCCTTAATATGATAATTGTGTATCCTTCTGGGGCATATAGGAACTGCCTCCTATGAGAGTGGGTAGATATTGAGTTGCCAGATAACAACTGTACTTACAGAATAGGGGTCATCAGAAGAAGCAAAGTAGTGTATTTCAGTGTTATACTACAGATTATACGTTAACATAAATAAATAGGCAAAGCCAAAATAGTTCAGTACTATTTTCTCTTCTGTTTGTGAATCGATTTAGTAGCTATTCACGAGTGTTATCAATAAAAAAATTTGGAAATATTATTTTTTTTCAAACCTTCGATATATGCAGCATTGATCCACAATTATGAATTATGAATAACTAATAAAATTAGCTTATAGCGAACATCAGCACTCTTTAATTTCAAACAGACATGGGCAATATTACATTGACGGATAGAGGATCACCCCTCCAACTTTCCTCCCTCTTCCTCCGTCTAAATGGTAAGGAATAGAAAAAAAATAGCCGTAGGCTCCGCCTGAAATGATTTTAAACCGCCTCCTCCCCCTACTTTTCCCCTTTACCCCAATGGATGTTGATATATAGAACCGTTACTTCGAGTACGATAAATTATTGGACATTGAGGTAAAAAAATCATAATTTGGGTATTTTAAGATATTTGTTGTATAGATAATTAAAAAATTGGAAAAATTTGAAGAGTAGGCCGATTTTCTTCCCCCATCCCTTTTTTATACCTTTTCTAGGCTGTTAATGATTATTTTCGATATGCAACAGGATGCAAGCTGAGGTCGGATATAGTAGAGCGATGGGGGTTACTCACACCCGACCCCCTTTTTCAGGTGCCTTAAGAATAACTTCAGAATAAAAATTTGAAATTTTTATTGTGGGGGGAAGAATGGGACCAAGTGACGAGTCGAATCAAACCCATTTTGGATCTAATTACTCTTATACTCTTATTATATTTGATTCAATTATAATGATACTGAACTATGTTGTTAGTACTGCTACCTACTTTCTGTGTCTAAGCACCTGAGGTGGGATTTATATTAACCCAAGTCTTAGATGCCGACTAACTACAGTGAAGAAGGGGTGAGTCGTAGCAAAATTTATGTATGTGAGTGGGCGCCAGGAGTTTACCTCACATCCAACAATCCCAAGTGACGGTCGACTATAAAACTCCAAATAGTACGCTCCTATTATAAATCGTTACCTTACCATAGGTCTTATTGACCAACCTGATTATGAAACCGAACAGACAATTAGCAATTGGGGTCAAATAACAAAAAAAAATTCAATAAATAAATACCCAAACTTTAATACAAATAAATTGTTGTGTGTTGACATGGGGGTCAACCTCGTTCACACTTCGAAATAAACAATATTTAACATCTAAGTCATTTAGTAAATTAACGATTAGATTCCTCAACTATTAACAATAAACCAGTATCACTAGGAGTATTATTCACAATCAAAACGCTATATTAGACTTAAAAATATTTAAATGGGACTAGGGGTAATCTTAAAACTGTATTTATCAAAAGAAATAAATAATAGTGATCTATTTACGGTCGCTAGGAGTAAAAACAAGTAAAACTCTGTTACTTATTAAAAATATTAGTTACCCATAAGTAATATACCCCACGAAGAGCTCTTGGTGACGTTTTCGGGTTTATTAAAATGTACTGTAATTTATACACCCCTAAACCTCGTTAACATTAGGTTTAGATAAAGTTATGTACTAATACCCCCCTAATAAAATAGACTAAGAATAGTAATATAAAAATAAGTGAGCAAAAACTTGCGGTAAACCGAGTCTTCTTTCTGACTGGGAAAACTCTAGTAGACGGTTGATGTCTTACTATCTCTGCTTCGGCAAACAAATCGAATTGCCTGTCATAAAGGTATCTTCCAGCAGGTTACTAGCCCGTCACACGAATACTAGCCGGTCACAAGAATACTAGCTGGTCTCAAGAATACTAGCTGATCTTAAGAAGTGCTAGTCCGCCAAAGCCTACTAGCTCGTCACAAGAAGTGTTGGCCCTTCACAAGGACAACTGGCCCAACACAAGAAGTACTAATCCATCACACGAAGTACTGGCCTGTCACAAGAACCCCCTTTAACAGCAATAGGGGGAAGACGAAGCGCCAAATCAGATCGAACTGCAAATTCGTGAACATCCTATCCAGAAAAAAATACAAATATATGTGAGCACTATGAGATCCAAAACGTGGTTGAATATATCCTTCTGAAAGCTCTTATAACATGTGGTCACCAAATCCCACACTGTTGTAGTTTTAAAACAAAGTTTGTTTCGCAATATCCCAATTATGGATGAAAAGAATTCCATTAAATTTTAAAACACCTTTTAATATCCACGTGCGAAAAATGAATCTCCAAATTCCAAGAAGCCGGTGTCACTTCCAAAAAAACAATAATACCAACATACCTTAGTGGCAAATAGATGTCCCATCAGCGCCCTCTATTACGAAATAAATTCTTGGCAGGAAGGGTTAAAATAACCAAACAAGCCTCTAAATAGCCTAACCAAGTTCCAAATAGAGGTCCTATCTACCCCAAACTGAACATATACCGCCGGGGCGGAAACGCTAGACAGACATCTTGAATACAGGGCAGCCACCTACTCGCCCAGAGCGTCGCAGAAAAACCCCTACATCTATGGAAAAAGGCTCGCGAAGAAACGCATTCGACAGTGAGTTGACACATCAGCCGTTCGACTATCGATCCAAAAGTACAGTGGTTTAAATGCGTGTATAGGAAGGCCCGTTTAATAAATACTGAACACGGACAAAACAAGCGCATCCCTATTTTAATGAAAAACCGCTATTCGCGATTCAAGCTAAGTGATACGCCCTCTGGAGGAAATTAGTAAAAGGTCCCTATAAGTAGGATGACGTTCAGTGTTGCCAGAAGCAGCAAAATTTCGTTACGTCGTCGGATTTTAGTTCTTGAAGAAATGGATAAGACCTTTTATTTAAGAATCAAAATTTGTGTCTAGTAATATGAAATCATACTGTTTATTTAAGGATTTTTTTATAAAATCGATTTATTATATTGATTTTTTTTTAAATATCAGTTCATTTATTAATTTTAGTTTTAAAATCAGTCAGAGACAAAATCAGTTCATCATTTGGCAACATTGACGTTCGTGTTCATTGTTTACATTTTAATTTGTATCAATTACAATTAGAGTTTTTTGTTACTTTTTAGCTTTAAATTTGTTTATTTCTTATAGTATGTGATAGTATTTAAATTAAAAATGAAATCTGCGAAAAAGCCTCCAGCAAATTGCAATCTGTATGGTGATATTGTCAAAATCAAAACTGGAGTATTAATTATTTTTCAAGTGCAAGTCATAAAATTCTGTTTCTTACGATAAATGGGTATCTACAAATTCACAATATTGAAATTTTGCAAAACGTTGTTTAGAATCAAACTCCAATATGAGTTGTGACGGTTTTATTACCATTTACATGTATACAAAGTACCTACTAAACAATTCACTTCATGATATAAGAATAAGGATAGTAAGATTTTTTAAGAAATTCATCAATAATAAACGTTTGGTACCTGATATGTCCTTTAAACCACATAATAAAACATGTCCTGGGTTTAGTAAATACATATTTCTAGATGTTCTTGTAGCAACCAATAGGTCAATATTTCCAACAAATTAGTTCGTACTACACATGAAAAATTACATTTATAACGAAAGCACGAAAACTAAACCTAAATTAACACTAAATGAAACTCAAAAACACTATTATAATAAGAATATTATCTAAAAATAGTTAAAAAATCACAAATACAAAATCCCACAACACGTAAATAAACAAACATCCTACTTATACGTGACAAATGACAGGCGCGCGAAAATTAATTTGAATCGCGAATAAGGCCAAATCTAAACGTTACAGTACATAAACAAGTTTGTGGTCTCAGATGTACAAAGAGTAAAAAACTAAAAATAAAAAAATGTAAGAAACATGAAAATGCATATGTTATCCTTAAATTTTCAATAATATCGCTATTGGTGTATTTATTTTTACCAAAAATATTTTATTTCGTAGTTTTTTGGCTCTTTTTATGATTTTCTTGGGTATCTTACTTTTAAGTTCAGATACCTAGTTATATAAATATTTACCGGGTACTTTGTCCTTTTTGGTTCTCATTTAATAGTAGGTTTGTCAAATTTGTTAAAGTTGAAGCCTTTCTTTCCATTGGATTTTTATTTTTGTCTTTGTAATTCACAACTTCGACTGAACCCATTAACTAAAAAAAATTATGTTTTAGGATTTTTCTTGGAAATAACCCACATAGGATACGGACGTCTTATGGACGTCTAAAAGACGTCCTTCAGGGACATAAAGGACGTCCGAAGGACGTCCTATTTTGGTACCGGGACGTCAATCGGACGTCCCATGGACGTCCTAATGTCCCGTTTCCGTCCATCTTAGGGACGACCCTTAGGGACGTCCCAGGGACATCCCAGAAGGACATCATAGGGACCTTTGCGGGACGTCCTAGGGACGTAAATCAGACGTGCGAGAGACGATATTTAACCATAATCCATGAAGGGTAATAATAACAAAAATGTTAACAATAAAAGAGCTTTATTTAACAACGTTTATCCTAAAAAAACGAGCTAGAGTTAAACGTTTTCAGTTTACAAAAAAAAAAAACAGGAATGAATTAAATTTAACACACAGCGCTGGCAAGATGAAACCTTGGGTCCTACTTATAGCTTGTGTCGACATAACTGAGTATTATAATTTTGTCAAAATTAGTTTTGTTCCAACTTTCCGCCATTAAGGTATTTTCTTTCCGCCAGCGGCTACCGCCAATACACATCACTTATTGTCATCTCAACACAAAACACTCACTGCACTTTATAACCACTTTACCACCAACATCAAAAAAATAACAAATAACTATAACCTTCTTTTTTCTTCGTTAATCTAACTCACTTATATAAGTTAATTATTGAGTGCCAAAAATTGTAGCTGTTGTTGTTCATTTAAAAATAAATGATAGGTTAGGTTTTCTGTTCTCATACTCTTGCAAAAACAAAACGTTAAATATCAAGTTATCGATTCAAAGACCAACGATGCTAGTACATAGAAAGTTCCATAGACGTCCCTTGGACGTCCCATTAACGTCCCGGACTCGGACCGAAAACTAAAGGCTTTGTCGAAACGGGACCAAAATAGGACGTCCAGAGGACGTCCTTCTAAGGACGTCCTACTGTTCACTGTAATCGGAAGTCCAGTGGACGTCCTATTTAGGTCCGGGACCAACAACGGACCAAATCAGGACGTCCATGGGACGTCCTGTGCTATCTGGGAAAGTTTAATATTAAGAAAACTAGAAAGCTACAAGCTATACATGAAATACCTGATGCATTGATAATAAATATGCTTTGGTAAAAATAACCAAGTCAAAGTTTAAACGCACAAATTTAAAAATAATAAAAATTGAATCATTGTGAACCTTCAATATTTTATGTTTATGGTCGCAAATTAGCACTAAATAAACACCGAATTATTACAGTGTATTTTTTTAGATTGGTACTTACATAGCACAAACGAAACTTTTTATAAAAACGCTGTTACAAAAATTACCATTCTGAAAAATATCCAATATTGCAAATGTTTATCTAAATCCAACTTCTGTATTAATTTTTCAACGATTAGTATGTCACTTTTTCTACAACATTCACAACTGACTGTTTTGGCTCCACATCTTTATTTGTAACAATTTCGCATGTCTTTATTATCTAATTAATTCAATTTTACCATCAAGACAGGCTTTGTTAAATTTATGTAGGTTGCCATTATCACGTGGGATATTCTTATCCACTTAGAGATACATACTTTTTTCGAGTGACAACATTTTGAGGTACTTATTGTCCAATAATTGCATTAAAATTTTATTTTTTAATGTGAATAATATACCTACTACTGCAGGAGATATTTCTTTAATAATATTATACAGGGTAAGTCATAAATTTTTTTAAAAAACTTTAAAAAATTCACTTAGAGTAGGTTGTACAATAGGCAGTTAAAATGTGAACCTCATTGTATAATCATCGGTTATGGTTAAACATACTTTTAAAAATGACATTTGTACTTTAAATATAATTACTAAAAAAATTAAACTATTGTTAGCTAAACTGAGTTTACAACATTCTTTGTACAATCCACCCTTAGGGCGATAATTTGCTATGTTTTCAGCACAATTTCTTTTGTAAACAGGAATAATAGAAGCTATTTTTAAGACCATCACTTTTAAGAGTAAAGGAAGCTTACGACAGAATACTGATAGATTGATGTCATTGCTTTTAGTAATTTGATTAATATAAAATCAATTCCAGTACTTTTTTAATCTTAAAATTTTTAATAATTTGGTCCAATCTTTATATTTTGTGAGAGATTTTTGTTGTATATTGTGTTGCCTAACTATAAAGAATTCTATAATTAGTTTTATTTTTTCCTTATAGGTTGGCAACATTAGTAAGTTGTCATTAGTGGTCTTGATACACATACTTTGATTAGTGTTGTAAATATCCGTATCTTTTTAGTATTCGGATAATACGTATTCGGAACCAAGAGATATTCGGATTCATCATCCGGATACGTATCCATATTCCATATGTGAGAAGTCATAATAATACGCAACCGTAAATACACCGCGACATGTGGAATCGGAACCGGGCAGTGTTGCTAAACCTAGCAGAATTTGTTTGAGAGTGAAGTAGCAGAAGCTTTTAATGTTTTAGAATAATAAACTCAAGAAAATCTCAAATATTTTGTTTTTATAATAATATCAGAAATAACATTTCTCATTCACTGAATATTATTTATATTTATACAACTTTGTTACCATTAAGGCCGCAGTATCACTGTATTTCTCATATAAGAAGCAAGGGTTCACCATTTCCGATTGCATTTAAATCCCGCTAAATGAATTAAAATAAATCTTCTACCAGCTTAAAGTATAAGGTTTGGAGAATGAAATCTCCTATTTTTTATTTGTCCTGTTTATACACTGAATTTAAAAAAAAATCATAAAAAGTGATTTTAAAACCAGAGGCTAAAAAGTAGGAGATTTCATTCTACATATTTTTCCAAGTATCTCGCCAAAATATTTCTAAATTTTATTGCGTATTTTTCAAATCTAACTTGAAATACGATTAACAAATATTTGATAAATTTATTTGTCAAATTAGAGATTTTCTATGAATTCCTGTAATTGTGTACAGTTCATGTAGTTCATTTATTTTTAAGAAGATGTCACCGTAAAAAACAGTATAGCTATTCTACTTTAGAGATGGTTTTAATAGGTAAATGATTGTTTAGAGGTACCAATTTTTGAAACAGTGATACAGGTGTATGCCGTCTTTTATTGTTTCGTGCTTTTCATATATATTTGTCTCGTTTGGTTCCAAATTATCGATTGATTTTGCCTGTGTATGAACAAGTGTTGACCACGTTGCCAGATTATCGATTTATACGATAATTTCACAATTCTTTCTAGGACGAATTTGATTTTAAAGTGGGTGAAATATACAATAGTGAAATGCAGGAAAGGGAAGGAACTTTATTGCATTCCGATGTAAATTAAATCCGAATGACCTGGCATCATTGTATGATACGCACGTAATATTGGCGGTCTTTGCTTTTTTCTCCTGAATGTTATTTTATCTTTATAAGGAATCTTATTTCTGAGTTAACACGTTGACTGCTATGTGTATGTACCCATGTGTATGTCCTATTAGTGCGTAATTGTTCAATATTTTAATTTATGTTAAAGACACGCAAACATGTTTAAAAAAAAAGTTATATGGATTTAAAAAATACATATTTTAAAAATATTTTTAGATATATACAGGGTGCTACATTTTTGCTTGGTATATTTTTAAAATAGAACATGTATTTTATTTCAATTTTAGAATGGTTCGGTAATACTGTATTCAACCTTAGAATAATTTAAAAAAATATTACAGGTCTGCCAAGCAATTAAATTTTTATAAAATTAGAAAATAATGCAGACCCTAAATTAAATTATCATAATTCAAAATTGTTTAATATACTGACTTATAGCACATTAAGATAACGAATAGTAGTGATAGTGCTGGATTCTTTTATAGCGAGTGTTTTGAAACATGTCTTAAAATGGTTACTTTTAAGTCAAATTACTCAATTTTTCAAAGGCAGCATTATTGGTGTAATAAAATACATCTATCAGCAAAAAATAAGTTAAATAAGCTTTGCCAGTGGCGTACGTCATGGGCCAGTAACATCTTTTTCCTTCTAAATTTTAGTCCACGTCCACTTTTGATGTTTTTTAAATAAAGTTGAGTTAGTTTTTGAGATATTCGCACATATTAGAAAATTCTGTAGTTTTTAAATTTCGATTTTTTTTTTATTTAATTTCTAAGAGTACATTATTTATTTTAAAAACATCAAAAAATTTAAAATTTTATGTCCAAATAACATTTTGGATAGTGACGTAAAATTTAAGAGGTATGCGGTATTACGTACGAATGCTGTACGCCACTGGAAAAGTTAATTAAGGTAACTTATTTTTTTGCTGATAGGTGGATAATTTGACACCAAAAACGTTTGCCAAATTTAGTAAAATTGTTGTGAGTAATAAAAAAAATAAAGCAATAAATATTTTTTGGATTTTAACACCTTAACTCGGTACCAAGAAACATTTTATCTAAGCATGATTTGTTTAGTTGTCTTATTTTTAATCAGAGAATCGTCAGTTGTTCTATATCCCATTCTTAACGAAACACTATGTATAGTATAAGTGGTCCCTACGTAATGATACGAAGACCGTTGTCCTTTGTTGATTGGACACAAGAATGAACTACTAAACAGCGTTGGGTTTTTAGTAGCAACAGCTTGTACTGAAATTCAGATCGTGATTGTACCAGAACGTACTAGATTTGGCGATAAATTTCAAATGAGAACACAAACTCATTTTAAACCAAAAAATAAATAAAATGGGTATAACAAAAATATATTCTTACGTTGGTAAATAAAAAATTTAAAAAGAAACCAAAATAAACTTTATTTTAAACAAAAAAATATAAATTAAAATACGTAAAACAAAAATATATTTTTATATGGTTAAATAATAAAATTTAAAAATAAAAACAAACACTTATTTTTTATAGAAAAACAAATAAAATAAGGGTAAAAATTAAAAAATATTTGTTATGTCAATAGATTTACAATAATTAATCTATAATAGACTGTAAGTGTAGTATTCTTTTTAATAAATAATTTACCGTAATTAACAATGTTTAAATTTATTTACTAGAACATGAAAGTGTAGTCGATATTTATCAGGTTTTTAAATTTCCCGCTGGGTTATTTGTTTGATATCGATGATAGCGACACATAGTGGGCCAGATGTTAACTGCGTTCGAGCTGGTGGTTGTTAAGCATATGCTTAGGAGCGTATCTTATATCTATGTCCCTTATATGAAGACTCATACTCCCTTATCTCTTACCCCTTATTTTCAAAGTATGGGAGCACTCATTTCTCTCAAGATTCTCATCAGAAATGTCGTACGTCAATGTGGAAACGCTGTTTTAAAGGCCTCGAGGATTAAAATTCTTACGAGAATTTGTATTCCCTCTAAATAAACCAAGAGAAACAATCTGTGAGTTCACACTGGCCCCAAGGGCCCTAAAAATACTGTTTTACGTTGACATATTATGACATTTCTCTTGAGAGGAATGACTTTTCTCGAGTTTGAAAATAGCCTCCCTGGTATAAAGTATCGCATTGGGAGTATCAGAAGTATCTACTGTCTAGCATAGAAATTGGAAATCATAGAATACATTATTCTAGAAGATCCAGCGAAATATTTAAAATGTACTAGATTTAGATACTTTTGTCTTTTGTGGTACTAGCATTTATGAATGGTTGAAATGTACTGAATCTAGTACAATTGTACTAATAAACCCAACGCTGCTACTAAATAAATATACCGACGTGCCGAATCTAATGCAAAAGTTTTATTTTTATACCTGTTTCATCGAAAATATTTGTCAAGGTCAAGAACTCGTTTAGTTATTATCGCGTAGTAGCTAGGGGTGATGAATTTGTTAGGTATTTTATAACAGTTACCGTTTAGAACTAATAAAATTATTACGCCATCTGTTGAACAAAAGAACTATTAAATATGGAATATTGCTCCATCTGCTGAACAAAAGGATTCTTAATTTATGACACATAAATGACATCTATCAAAATTAGTTCATGTTACGAATATTGGGGGTGGTACTGTGGTCTTAATACATGCCGACTAACCGACTACGAATTGCAACAAGGCTAGTTAGGGCGATTCCGAATTCCGATTTCGCATCAGTTGCCACCCGCAAATCTCGCATTCGATTCGTGTATTCGGATTTCAGATTTTATTTCTGTCATTTTTGATTCCGAATCCGTATTCGAATTTACACATTGATTCCGGAATATCCGGATCCTTTTATTATTCGGATTCAACGGATTTTTGGATACGTATTCTTACATCACTACTATACGGTGCAAGAGAGAGGTCCGACACGCCCAACATAGGGCGCGGCACATACTTTGATTACTATACGGTGCAAGAGAGAGGTCTAACACGATCAACATAGGGCGCGGCCATTTTAATTCCTATGCCACAATTTATAGCTAAAGAATCAGATCGCTCACTCTGCGTCGGCACTTTTGATCTCAATGTTCCAGTTTATACACTGTGCAACTCGGATAATACAATATATGACAACCGCCTACAATAAAACAGCAGTCTTCTGCGTATCCTGAATTTGTATCCCTGGAGTGGATGTTATTTTGGAACTTTCAACTGGTTCGAGTGAGCTAACTGATTCTTTAGCTATAAACTGTGACTCCAAAAATAATATTCACTGACACTGACAGCAGCAAGCAAAATATCAGGTGCGTTTTAATCATCCGCTTCTGCTTCCGGAATTGTCGGTTTAGTCGTTTTTACCTGTCAGATTAAAACAAGAAAACCGACAATTCCGAAGCAGAAGCGGATGATTAAAACGCACCTATTAAAAATATTACGCCAAGATGTAGGCAACACGTAATAAGGAATCAAAATGGCAGAGTTTTCTATCTCCTTTTAAAAGGTACTCAGAAAGCTGCGCAGTGCGACCATTCTCCGTATAGTAAAAGAAAATCAAAGTAAAAATAAAAAATAATATAACAAAACTAATTATTAAAAAAAAAACAAAATTAAAACAAAAAAAAACCAAATACAAAAAAAAAGAAAAACAAAAAAAAACAGAAACAAAAACAGACGAAAAAATCAAAAACAAGAAAAAAACATGAGCTAGAAAAAACCTATTATAGGATTTACTTCTTAATATTGTATTTAGAGAAATTTGTATTTTTCAAATGAAATGTGAACTGTGAAATATTGTAAAGATAGAACTTAAAATTGAATTAACCCAAAATAAACTTTATTAAAATTAATTAAAGATTGACTGGCCAGTTGGTTTTAAAACCAGTGCCAAACAGAAATACATACACTCACAAAGTATGTGTCTTGATAGAATACTATAATATTTTCAATTGTCATATCATGTAAGAGTTGCTGTTTTTTTTGTTAAAAGAAAATGTGGATTAATCTTTTTGTTTATTCGGAAGAAAAGCCATCCGACGCTGAGCAACCTGCTAATAAAATAATATAAAATCAATAAGAATTATGTTTTATTTTTAGTTTTCATTACAAAATGTTTAAACACATAAAATAACCATTTTCTCAGTAATAAATACTTAAGTCCAGTTCTTATGACGGTATAACTTCCCACAATTTTTGCAAACTGTACCCCTCCTTGATACTTTCGACAGCCAATCCCAATTCTGGACAAAAAACTGGCAATCTATCTTTGGAATGACCCTCATCGGCCAAATACGCAGCAATGGAATTAGATATCTCATTCTTTTTATCATCCTCGAACTCTTCGACAAAATTACTGGATTCCTGCTGTTCCTGATTAGATGACCATCTGTATTCTACTCCAAAAATAGGTTTGGATGCGTACACTGTGTGCAGAGAAGATAGTTCTTTGAAGAGAATTCGCAATTTCTCTTCTGGATCTACTTTAAAACCCAAAACGTACAAACCGCTTGCTTCTGAGCTGGTTATAACTAAAGCTGTACCAAATTTTGAGTCCCTTATTGCTAGCTGAAAACCACAAAATATTAAAAAAAGTATGGAGAGTTTAAAAACTCTTACTGTTTCAATTTGAAGATATGGCAACGATATATTAAACCCTTCATTGACGTCTGCAAACCATACGAATCTGACATTGGTCACGATGAACGTTCCAAGACTTCCCTGGTCACTGGACAAATTCCAGACACCATGGACTGTGGACACCACTTGCTCTAAAGGTAATATCTTTAATTGCTTGTTGTGGACCACAGCTCCTCTTAGTTTTAGATCCCTGTAGAGTTTCGATGAGTTGTATGCCCTAAAAGAAATAGTATTGGTATTTAGTTTAGTATTAAGAAACCTATTTAATTGTAAGCGTTCCTTCTCCAGAACTTATTAAAGACAAGAAATGGGTGTTAAAAAAAAAAACAAAAATAGAAAGACGAGTTGTTGCTTTCAGACTTTCGTACAGTAAAGTTGCATAATTTTAAAGTTTTTGTAAGAAGCTATTGTTGAAAGCTTCCTTCTGCCACATAGTCAGAAATAATTGTATTTTCTAACTAATAGAACTAGTTTTGAATTATACAGTCCATTTTATTTACTTCACAGAGCGTAATTAACCTACACATAAACCGTTTGTTGCATTACATTTCAGCAGACCATTGTCTAGGAGAATTTGTTTAATAATTTAAGGTTCTAAAAGTTTTTTTCACCTACTTGTGTACTCCCATGACCGATGTAAAGTGTCTGGTATTCCCTGGTACCAAATTAGTAAAAATAAACTCATATCTCGTTCCTCTGGATATGGTTAAAATTTGAATGGCTTGAGTGGTTCCTCTTAATCTCTAAAATTAAATTAACTTCAATTTTGATAAATTTGGTTTAATTTTTTTTTACTCACTGAGTTTACCATCTTAGAATTCGTAGATAATATGCAGCCCAATCCTAGAGCTGAAAAATAAACAAAACAATCTAAATCTCTTTTTATAAATATGTAGGGAAAACCGAAAAAGCGTTAATAATAATAATAATATTACTCTCCCTAATTCACCCCCACGAGTAAATTTTTACCCCAAAAGCTGAGCTTGTCCGGGGAAGAAACGGCTATTAGAATTATTAGCCGTGGCGCTCCGGGGCGACTTAAAGATAATTAATGGTGCCATTTGACTTAAAGGTGAGGACAACCTGGAAAACCCCACCCTCAATCATCGAACCGGTAACGCATGGTGATTTTTATAATCTGGATGTCATATCAACAGAAATAAAATTGTTGATAATACGGCAGCTATCAAATCCTCTAGAGAACCATGCAAATAAATTCACAGTCTTTCGTAGGATTCGAAGCCTAACCACAAAATTGCGAGAGCGTTAGACTAAGAGCGTTACTAACATAAATGATGCATTATTTAAAAGAGACATAGTAGATACTAAAAAAGACGTTACAGAAGGCACAAAAGATGTAGTTAAATTATTATAGGAAGAGCCCCAAAAGTTGGAGAGATCGAGTTACTAATCAACATCCCAACTAAAGAACGTGCCTTTATGAAAAACAAATATACTTAACTCGTTGACGGACAGTACGACTAGAGCCGTCACATTTTTATCCCTTTCCTGGGACATGACGTCTATAGCAGTCATCCCAATTTTCTTCTATAAGCAAATAACGGCTTTGATTCTATATCGCTATATGTATTTTTAATTTATTGATCCTGTCAGTGTCTATCTAACTCAAAATTGTCCAGTCTACGGCGAATTTCGAAACACGTCAACAGTTTTATGCACGTTAGTTCCTGTATCTTTTTGACAGCTATAACCGTTCAGGGCAGCATTTATCTTACATTAGTCAACAAATAAGTGTCGTTCGGAGAACACACGTTAACCTTATTGTTTGTGATTTGTGTTAAAAAATATAACCTGGTGAGTATTTTTTCGTTTTTTAGTTTTAGTCGCTGTTCCAATTTCACCAAGAAATGGGAATGATATAGACTCTCCTTTAACCATTGACTTGCAGTCAGATTCTGATGATGGCGTCCTTGCAAAAAAAATCATACTGAACCAGGCCCCAGAACAAAATGATTCCAATTTAATGAGTGCTAAGAATTCAGTTTCCGATAAACTAGAGTCGAGTAAGCGAAATTTATTTGCAGAAAACCAAACAGCTTTAAAAGAAATTAGGCCAATACCGACATCAGAAAGAAAGTCCACAACACGAAAAAAAAAAAAAAAAAATGTCTGTCTCTGTTATTAGTAGCACGCCACGATTTTTGCATGTTAGTCATCTTACCCCAACGCTTTCATCATCTTACCCGATGTATGGGGTAAGATGACTAAAATGTCAGTTTTTAATTTTTTTTTTTAGAGAAAGTGGTTTATTTTTTGTGATATTTGATACCTAAATAATGTAGTAAATATATTTGTAGGTTTACGTTTTCCTTTTCGTTTCTTAAAATTTAACTAATTTAAGAGTCCAGAAAGGAGACATTAACATAAATTCAACATGGTAATGTATCAACCTTAATAAAGACGGTTTTGGTTTGACTGATGATCTCAGGATAGTATACATGACTAGAAATTGTAGAGACGAAGAAGATGCGGTATCTAAAAATACAAGACAGAAGCTTGATGACAATATGAAGAATTACTCATGGCACCAATTGTACCAAAGGGAATAAAAGAAGGCAACAACATTAGATAGAGATGTGATTTGTTATTTTAGTCTTTCTAAATAAATTAATTAATAAACTTACATAAATTAATGCGAGGACTGCTTGACGAATACCATAAAATTCTTATATTTGTTATTATTAATTTTCCTCTATAACCACTATTGCCTTTTGTATCTTCTATATTATCTAATTTGTCTATAACTTTTTCACCGTTTATAAGTTTCATTTTACTAAAAGAAAATACTTAATATTAATAAACACTATACAGGGTGGCCACTTTTTTAATGGGATTGTATTAGTAATTTCCAAACCATACTAGTTAGAAAGTCGGTTAAATGGAGAAAAAGTTGCGTATCTCGAAGCATAATCTAGCGGTGAAAATTAATCGAAAATAGCAGGCACGGTTCTTGAGATATGTCGATAAAAGGAAATTCGATCATTTTGGTTTTTTGGTTATCGTTCATTTATTTTCAGAACTACTAAAAAATATTTTAAAGGTTTTTTATTTGATAGTAAATTTTCTTTGATTTGACGTTTTCATATTTTGCATCCAACGTTTCATATTCTCCAGACCACCATCAACTTTTTTTTTTAAATATGGGCCTGGGTATTTTATAACATTATTTGAAATAACTTTTTATCCTGCATCCAGCGGTGTATTACACAATGGCATTCACTGACAGTTTTTGGGTAATATGGACCGTAATCCAAATTTTATTGGTACGGATCATCTGTATTGAATTTATAATCAGCGTTAATTTTTTCAGTGTATAATACTTCGAAGATAAAGTGATTATAATTAGGAAAAAATAAATGAGAATTAATAATTATTCAATTATTCGACTATTAAAAAGTATGTTTTGATAAAGTAAATGATTAAAAGATATTCTCGATTCTATTTTTGACAATACATACCTACCAAATTTGAAGGCAAAATATTATTTTATTACTGGCACAGCAATTGATATGATTTTAAACTAATATCATCTTACTTGTTATAAAATATAGTAGGCCGTGAAAACAATTCATATTACAAGAACTGTCACATTATTATTATGTTGTTCTTTATTGCTTTACGAAAATTTCTCATTGTTCAAAAGTTTTTTGTGTGTTTCTTGGTACCTAGTCTAACTTCAATATGGTAAGATACACCGCAGAAAAAAGACGAGATATGTACGAATTATACATCAAACTGAACAGAAATTCGTTCAGAGCAAAACAAAGGTACGAGGATTTATATCCCGACAGAATGCAACCAAATACAAAAATTTTTCGGCATTTGTCTACAACTCTTCTCGAACATAATACATTCGATAAAGCTAGAGTTCCGTATGTTCGAAGAAAGGAGCCAGTCAACGATATTAATGTCTTAGCTCAAATTCGAATAAATCCAGGAGTTGGGTCGAGGACTATTGCAGGTGAATGTAACTTATCAAAAAGTGCTGTTAATAAGATAATCAAGAGACACGGATACCATGATTACAAATACCAAGCTGTACAAAAACTATATCGTAATGATCCTGAAAGAAGATTGCGATTTTGTAATTGGTTTAAACAAAAGGTAAGAATTAATAACAACTTTGCACACAATATCATTTGGGGAGACGAAACAACATTTACAAATTCTGGTATGTTCAATCGAAGAAATAAACATTTTTATGCCACGGAAAATCCTCACCTAATCCAAGAAGTGAGACATCAATATCGTTTCTCTTTGAATATGTGGTGCGGTTTGTTAAATAATAAATTACTGGGACCATACTTTATTGACGGAAACCTTTCTGCAGAAAAATATTTAGATATACTGCAGGATATGTTAGATGATCTTCCTTTAGAGTATCGTCTTAACGAAATCTGGTTCCAACAAGATGGATGTGGTCCACACAATTCAAGAATGGTCACGGATTATTTGAATCAGACTTCTCCCAATTCATGGATTGGAACGAGAGGTCCAGTGGCGTTGCCTGCCAGATCGCCAGATCTGAATGCATTAGATTTTTATTTATGGGGACGTCTCAAAAATAAAGTGTATAATACACCAAATGCAACAATTGAGATTCTCCGCGAAAAGATTGAAGATGCATTGGAAGATATCCAAGAAGAAGAAATAAGCAATAGCATAAGAAATATGAATATCAGAATGCTAAATGTATTGAAGAAGATGGCAGGCATTTTGAACAATTACTCAATTAATTTTATTGATATTTTCAAATAATTTGATTATGAAAAACTGAATTACTTTTTGTTATTATCATTAATTGCGTTTTAAAATTTCTACATTACTATTGTTGTTGTTGATGAATTGTTTAATTTTCGAAAAATTACTTAAATTTGGGTAAGAATTGATTTTATTTTTTTATCGAGGAGCATGACATGTTGATTCAACTAAAGATGGCTGAAACCAAGCGTAAATTAAATAAAATTTGGATTACGGTCCATATTACCCAAAAACCGTCATTGAATGCCATTGTGTAATACACCGCTGGATGCAGGACAAAAAGTTATTTCAAATAATGTTATAAAATATCCAGGTCCATATTTAAAAAAAATAAGTTGAGGGTGGTCTGGAGAATACGAAACGTTGGATACAAAATATGAAAACGTCAAATCAAAGAAAATTTACTATCAAATAAAAAACCTTTAAAATATTTTTTAGTAGTTCTGAAAATAAATGAACGATAACCAAAAAACCGAAAAGATCGAATTTCCTTTTATCGAAATATCTCAAGAGCCGGGCCTGCTATTTTCGATTAATTTTCACCGCTGAATTATGCTTCGAGATAGGCAACTTTTTCTCCATTTAACCGACTTTCTAACTAGTAAATAATTAAAAAAGTGGCCACCCTGTATATTGGATGCAATAACACTTACGAATATGGAATGTCAAATTTGACTTCTTTATCCTCCCATTGAAGCACCATTTTAATTTTTTTGGTTAGAATGAATTTATAACTTTTACTTCTATAACCGACTATGTTATCATAATAGAGTTTCATCGATTTTTCCATAAATGTCTGTTGCGTAGGAACTCAATCACAACAAATGGGAACAATAGTGGTTAGAGGTAGGGATCTTATACGTATGATTTTGAGAAATTAAAATAGAATAAAAATAAATTGAAAGTAAAAAAAAATATATAGATAGGTATACCCAGGGCGGTTGCAACCAGCTTGAGCGCCATCGCACAAATGTTATCACAGTGCCTTTTGCTAAATTAGCGCAATTATTTTTTATATTTTATACAGGGTGTTAGTAAATAAGTGCGACAAACTTCAGGGGGTGATTCAGCATGAAAAAATAATGACAGTTTGCTATATAAACGTATGTCTGAAAATGCTTCGTTTTCCGAATACGGGGTGTTAAAGTTTTTCTTAACAACTGACGATTTGTTTATTTCTCTGAAACCGGTCAAGATATGGAAATGAAATTTGGTGGATTTTAAAAGGTAGTTATTCCGCATTATTTGACATGTAATTAAGAATTTTATGTTCATCATTGGCGTGCATACGGGTAATGATCTCAATTCATTTAAAGAAGAAAAAAAAATGGTACGCCACTAAGATATTTGAAATTAAAAATCATTTTTGAATTTCTTATTAAATTTGTCACAAAAAATATATCTGGTTTTTTTTTCGTGTGGAGCGCCGTTTTTATGCAAAAAAATAAAACATCTTAACGCGTATTTTTTATTTCTTTAATAATAAATATATCTACTGTTAACTTTGTAGAATAAATTCATCGGCTGAATACGTACAGGTGGATTTGTATTCAATCTTGAGAGAGGACCACTGATCTGTGTTATTTTACTGGATAGGATATAGGCTATATTTGACATACTAAAAATTTGTTCCATCAAGGATACCGGAAGGGCAACAATGCTGGCCGATTTGGGCAAATTATGGTGGGATAATTTGACATATCTAGCCTATAATTTGATTAGTTCTTCTTCTTATTCTTCTTCTATTCATTTTGCGGGCAATGTTCTTCGGGACAAGTCACCCATAAACGTCTTCATTGGGATGTTTTAAATATGTCGGTAATGTGGACGTTCAACTCTTTTCGTTATATTTGAATACAACGCCACGACAGCGTTCTTGGCGCTGCCTGCAGCGCATATAGATCGTCATTCGTCATTGGCTGATTGGAGTCTCGCGCGCGCGTATCGAGTCGTGTTCTTCCTCTAGCTGCCTTCTCTCGGGACAGCCATTGTATAACATTTTTAGAGTCAGTCTGTGGACATTGTCATTACTTTTTCGTGGTTGTGTGTTTTTTTATATATTGTCTTTTTATATTATTTATTTGCAATTATTGGAACTGTGGTATACCGGAACTAGTAAACTTTATCATTAAAAACGGTAAGTTTTAATTTATTTGCCTTTTAATTTCATGACCTCACTATAATAATGTCTTATTAAAAAAAAAACACCTTAAAACAATAACTCAACAAAATTATATTCTACGGAGCATTAGTTTTGAACGCTTTGGCTAAAATTATTACCATTAAAAGACATTTTTAAATCGACCAAACTGGAATAGTTTCTCATAGCAACAAGTACTTGAAGTGATTTTTGAATTATTTTATCCAACACTGTAAAATAATATTTACTCTGTGTCAGTTTTAATAGTTTAATAATGTATAATAAACCAGGGGGATATCGCGCATGGTGTCATGGCGGCACTGACGTCATGCGTAGAGGTAATAGAGTTGGCGCGAAGTAAATATAATATGACACATGCACATTGCTGTAGTTTATAGTAATTTATATAATATTTTAGGCTGATATTTATATTATTATGTTGAAAACTTTGTTCTTTCTAAGTGATATTAGTGAAACATCAAAAAAATGCGGTACTTAATTTACGGATCTAACAGTAACAATGAAAACAAAGGACTAAAGAGGACGTTGTTGGACAGTAAGAGGTTAGTTAGAAGTGGCCCAACGGCGACTGCCGTGAGGGTCCCAGGGGACCACGTCCTTCCTGTATTAAAATTGTTATATTCCATGTACCTGTTTTTAAAAAAAATATGCTAAAAAGGGAATTGTTACAGGCAATGGTACACCTCCCCGAAAATTCGACCTGGAACCACCATTTCAGTGGCCTGTGGACGTGCAGATAAATTTAAATAAGATTATTGTCATATGTGTTCCAAGCACGTTTAACCTTCCAATTATAAGAGGGACCTCAAAGCAGAACTTCACGTTGGTTCATTCGCAACTCGGGACTTCTTAACTAGAGACTCTTCCCTTTGGTTAAAAATTTCTCAATATATAGCAAAGGTGAAATTGTATACGTCACAAAAAAAACTAAAATTTCACATGTACTTGATTGAAGAGTTAAAAACCTGTCAGTGACTATGTCCTGGAAAAATATATTTTATTTTACTTTTGTATATACACCCACCATGTAGCAGTTATTTGTATTTGTTACATTATTTTTATGTTCGGAGTTACATGTATAAATCAAAGTATGTGGTCCCATACACATACTTTAATTTTCTTTTACTATACGGAGAATGGTCGCACTGCGCAGCTTTCTGAGTGCCTTTTAAAAGGAGATAGAAAACTCCGCCATTTTGATCCCATATTACGTGTTGCCTATATCTTGGCGCAATATTTTTAATAGGTGCGTTTTAATCATCCGCTTCTGCTTCGGAATTGTCGGTTTTCTTGTTCTAATCTGACAGGTTAGAACGACTGAACCGACAATTCCGGAAGCAGAAGAGGATGATTAAAACGAACCTGATATTTTGCTTGCTGCTGTCAGTGTCAGTGAATATTATTTTTGGAGTCGCAGTTTATTGCTAAAGAATCAGTTAGCTCACTCGGACCAGTTGAAAGTTCCAAAATAACATCCACTCCAGGGATACAAATTCAGGATACGCAGAAGACTGCTGTTTTATTATAGGCGGTTGTCATATATTGTATTATCTGAGTTGCGCAGTGTATAAACTGGAACATTGAGATAAAAAGTGCCGACGCAGAGTGAGTGAACTGATTCTTTAGCTATAAACTGTGTCATGGGGTTCAAAATGGCCGCGCCCTATGTTGGGCGTGTCAGACCTCTCTCTTGCCCCGTATAGTAATCAAAGTATGTGGTTAGCCCACTCGGACCAGTTGAAAGTTCCAAAATAACATCCACTCCAGGGATACAAATTCAGGATACGCAGAAGACTGCTGTTTTATTATAGGCGGTTGTCATATATTGTATTATTCGAGTTGCGCAGTGTATAATCTGGAACATTGAGATCAAAAGTGTCGACGCAGAGTGAGCGATCTGATTTTTTAGCTATAAACTGTGGCATAGGAATCAAAATGGCCGCGCCCTATGTTGGGTGTGTCGGACCTCTCTCTTGCCCCGTATAGTAATCAAAGTATGTGGTTAGCTCACTCGGACCAGTTGAAAGTTCCAAAATAACATCCACTCCAGGGATACAAATTCAGGATACGCAGAAGACTGCTGTTTTATTATAGGCGGTTGTCATATATTGTATTATCCGAGTTGCGCAGTGTATAAACTGGAACATTGAGATCAAAAGTGTCGACGCAGGGTGAGCGATCTGATTCTTTAGCTATAAACTGTGGCATAGGAATAAAAATAGCCGCGCCCTATGTTGGGTGTGTCGGACCTCTCTCTTGCACCGTATCAAAGTATGTGGTCCCATATCTCTGAGCTGGTCGTTGCTAAGCATTGGCTTCTTATGAGCGTTTCCTATTTGTATGTCCCTTATCTCTTAAACCATCAATATATCGGTCTTCTATTATTTTTATAATTCCGTGATTCAAATTTTGACATGTATTACCCTAAATTGTCATACTTATCCAATAAGTATAATGATATTAATTAGATACAAAATTTGGACTGTTTGTATCATCTTCACTGTATGCATACATATTTCTTATTCGAAAGTTTCTCGAGCAGCAGTTGAACCTCGGATTGTAGGAGGATACCAATGCAGTCAAAAACCCAATGTAAATATCAAGTTTATGGTAGCCTTAACCAGCTATAGAGGCAAGCATATGTGCGGAGGCAGTTTGCTTAATTCGCATTGGGTGTTATCCGCCGCACATTGTGTTTTTGATATCGATAATTATCCTTTAGGTGAGTTATTTGCCATTAATGCGGTAAAACGAGATAAATGCGTTATGAAGAATGGTTTTTTGTCTTCGTCGTGTCCAGTCCATTATATACGACAACGAGGTATATATAGTCATCCACGTTATACACGTAGACCGGTGAACAATGACATTTCATTGCTACGTTTAGATACACCCATGTACGCAAATAAAAATATTCAGTATGTTAAACTTCCCAGTACATCTATTGATGGTGATGTGTCAAATGTATGTGACGATAGCACAATCCTAGGATGGGGCTGGACAAAACGCAAAAGTAGTAAGATTCCAATAAGGCTAATGTGCGTAGATAAGAGAATAATGTCAACTGCAGACTGTATAAAGGACTTTCCGAAAACGATAAATACCTTCATTTGTACGGAACCTTCTTTTAAAAAAGATGCGTGTCATGGAGATTCTGGAGGACCTCTAGTATGCGGTGACATTCAGTATGGTATAACGTCATTTGGCCATGGATGTGCCAAAAATCGTGCGGTATTTTTTACTAGAGTCGATAAGTTTTTGGATTTCATTCATTACACCATGAAAAATAATGGACTACATGCATTTCGTTTAAATTTTGTAATATATGTAATAAGTTTGTTACTTTTATATTATAATTTACCATATTGATGCAGTCAAATAGATTTATGTCTGGGAGGTGAAGGTATCAATTGGCTATTAACAGTTCTACCATTACAGGATCGTTTCACAATAAATGTATCTACTGTTGACTTTGTAGAATAAATTCATCGGCTGAATACGTACAGGTGGATTTGTATTCAATCTTGAGAGAGGACCACTGATCTGTGTTATTTTACTGGATAGGATATAGGCTATATTTGACATACTAAAAATTTGTTCCATCAAGGATACCGGAAGTGCAACAATGCTGGCCGATTTGGGCAAATTATGGTGGGATAATTTGACATATCTAGCCTATAATTTGATTAGTTCTTCTTCTTATTCTTCTTCTATTCATTTTGCGGGCAATGTTCTTCGGGACAAGTCACCCATAAACGTCTTCATTGGGATGTTTTTAGGACGTTTTAAATATGTCGGTAATGTGGACGTTCAACTCTTTTCGTTATATTTGAATACGGCGCCACGACAGCGTTCTTGGCGCTGCCTGCAGCGCATATAGATCGTCATTCGTCATTGGCTGATTGGAGTCTCGCGCGCGCGTATCGAGTCGTGTTCTTCCTCTAGCTGCCTTTTTCTCGAGACAGCCATTGTATAACATTTTTAGAGTCAGTCTGTGGACATTGTCATTACTTTTTCGTGGTTGTGTGTTTTTTTATATATTGTCTTTTTATATTATTTATTTGCCATTATTGGAACTGTGGTATACCGGAACTAGTAAACTTTATCATTAAAAACGGTAAGTTTTAATTTATTTGCCTTTTAATTTCATAACCTCACTATAATAATGTCTTATTAAAAAAAAAACACCCTAAAACAATAACTCAACAAAATTATATTCTACGGAGACATTAGTTTTGAACGCTTTGGCTAAAATTATTACCATTAAAAGACATTTTTAAATCGACCAAACTAGAATAGTTTCTCATAGCAACAAGTACTTGAAGTTATTTTTTAATTATTTTATCCAACACTGTAAAATAATATTTACTCTGTGTCAGTTTTAATAGTTTAATAATGTATAATAAACCAGGGGGATATCGCGCATGGTGTCATGGCGGCACTGACGTCATGCGTAGAGTTAATAGAGTTGGCGTAAAGTAAATATAATATGACACATGCACATTGCTGTAGTTTATAGTAATTTATATAATATTTTAGGCTGATATTTATATTATTATGTTGAAAACTTTGTTCTTTCTAAGTGATATTAGTGAAACATCAAAAAAATGCGGTACTTAATTTACGGATCTAACAGTAACAATGAAAACAAAGAACTAAAGAGGACGTTGTTTGACAGTAAGAGGTTAGTTAGAAGTGGCCCAACGGCGACTGCCGTGAGGGTCCCAGGGGACCACGTCCTTCCTGTATTAAAATTGTTATATTCCATGTACCTGTTTTTAAAAAAAAATATGCTAAAAAGGGAATTGTTACAGGCAATGGTACACCTCTCCGAAAATTCGACCTGGAACCACCATTTCAGTGGCCTGTGGACGTGCAGATAAATTTAAATAAGATTATTGTCATATGTGTTCCAAGCACGTTTAACCTTCCAATTATAAGAGGGACCTCAAAGCAGAACTTCACGTTGGTTCATTCGCAACTCGGGACTTCTTAACTAGAGACTCTTCCCTTTGGTTGAAAATTTCTCAATATATAGCAAAGGTGAAATTGTATATGTCACAAAAAAAAAACCAAAATTTCACATGTACTTGATTGAAGAGTTAAAAACCTGTCAGTGACTATGTCCTGGAAAAATACAGTGACATTTTATTTTACTTTTGTATATACACCCACCATGTAGCAGTTATTTGTATTTGTTACATTATTTTTATGTTCTGAGTTACATGTATAATTCAAAGTATGTGGTCCCATACACATACTTTGATTTTCTTTTACTATACGGACAATGGTCGCACTGCGCAGCTTTCTAAGTGCCTTTTAAAAGGAGATAAAAAAACTCCGCCATTTTGATCCCTTATTACGTGTTGCCTACATCTTGGCGCAATATTTTTAATAGGTGCGTTTTAATCATCCGCTTCTGCTTCGGAATTGTCGGTTTTCTTGTTTTAATCTGACAGGTTAGAACGACTGAACCGACAATTCCGGAAGCAGAAGCGGATGATTAAAACGCACCTGATATTTTGCTGGCTGCTGTCAGTGTCAGTGAATATTATTTTTGGAGTCACAGTTTATTGCTAAAGAATCAGTTAGCTCACTCGGACCAGTTGAAAGTTCCAAAATAACATCCACTCCAGGGATACATATTCAGGATACACAGAAGACTGCTGTTTTATTATAGGCGGTTGTCATATATTGTATTATTTGAGTTGCGCAGTGTATAATCTGGAACATTGAAATCAAAAGTGTCGACGCAGAGTGAGCGATCTGATTTTTTAGCTATAAACTGTGGCATAGGAATCAAAATGGCCGCGCCCTATGTTGGGTGTGTCGGACCTCTCTCTTGCACCGTATAGTAATCAAAGTATGTGGTCCCATATCTCTGAGCTGGTCGTTGTTAAGCAATTAGGCATTCCAAACTGAATGGCTACCAGTGGGTTTTGACAGGTTATGATATGGCAAAATTATGGCAACCCTGTAAGCTTGGTGATTTGACAAGGTCAATGAAAAAGATAGTTACATAGATTGATCATCCATATTTTTCAAAATAAACATAAGCTTATGCCTTGAAGTAAAAATGTAAGCAATTATTTTTTTTTAATTATCTAAAGGCTGAAAATTGGTTTTAAAACACATTTTTGCTAAACCGATTCAAATTAATAAATATTTGCCAGGCAATATGGCCGCTCGCAAACGACCAGCTTTGAGCAATCTATATAACTATATATGTATCATTGACCCTGTTAATGACAACATGATAACAGGGTTGCCATATCTAAACTGTCAGTCCCCACTGGTAGCCATTTGGACAGCTCGTTGGAATGCCTAATGGCTTCTTATGATCGTTTCCTATTTGTATGTCCCTTATCTCTTAAACCATCAATATATCGGTCTTCTATTATTTTTATAATTCCGTGATTCAAATTTTGACATGTATTACCCTAAATTGTCATACTTATCCAATAAGTATAATGATATTAATTAGATACAAAATTTGGACTCTTTGTATCATCTTCACTGTATGCATAAATATTTCTTATTCCAAAGTTTCTCGAGCAGCAGTTGAACCTCGGATTGTAGGAGGATACCAATGCAGTCAAAAACCCAATGTAAATATCAAGTTTATGGTAGCCTTAACCAGCTATAGAGGCAAGCATATGTGCGGAGGCAGTCTGCTTAATTCGCATTGGGTGTTATCCGCCGCACATTGTGTTTTTGATATCGATAATTATCTTTTAGGTGAGTTATTTGCCATTAATGCGGTAAAACGAGATAAATGCGTTATGAAGAATGGTTTTTTGTCTTCGTCGTGTCCAGTCCATTATATACGACAACGAGGTATATATAGTCATCCACGTTATACACGTAGACCGGTGAACAATGACATTTCATTGCTACGTTTAGAAACACCCATGTACGCGAATAAAAATATTCAGTATGTTAAACTTCCCAGTACATCTATTGATGGTGATGTGTCAAATGTATGTGACGATAGCACAATCCTAGGATGGGGCTGGACAAAACGCAGAGGTAGTAAGATTCCAATAAGGCTAATGTGCGTAGATAAGAGAATAATGTCAACTGCAGACTGTATAAAGGACTTTCCAAAAACGATAAATACCTTTATTTGTACGGAACCTTCTTTTAAAAAAGATGCGTGTCATGGAGATTCTGGAGGACCTCTAGTATGCGGTGACATTCAGTATGGTATAACGTCATTTGTCCCTGGACGTGCCAAAAATCGTGCGGTATTTTTTACTAGAGTCGATAAGTTTTTGGATTTCATTCATTACACCATGAAAAATAATGGACTACATGCATTTCGTTTAAATTTTGTAATATATGTAATAAGTTTGTTACTTTTATATTATAATTTACCATATTGATGCAGTCAAATAGATTTATGTCTGGGAGGTGAAGGTATCAATTGGCTATTAACAGTTCTACCATTACAGGATCGTTTCACAATAAATATATCTATTGTTAACTTTGTAGAATAAATTCATCGGCTGAATAGGTACGAGTGGATCTGTATTCAATCTTGAGAGAGGACCACTGATCTGTATTATTTTACTGGATATGATATGGGCTATATTTGACATACTAAAAATTTGTCCCATCAAGGAGACCGGAAGTGCAACAATGCTGATCAATTTGGGTAAATTCTGAGGGTAAATTATGGTGGGATAATTTGACATATCTAACCTATAATTTGATTAGTTTTTCTTCTTATTCTTCTTCTATTCATTTTGCTGGCAATGTTCTTCGGGACAAGTCACCCATAATTTGATTTTTTATGAAATAAAATATAAAAATGGAAACGTGAAACATATTGTGTCTTCATGGATGAACGTTTATTGTTTATATCATAGTATTGCTATCCGATACTATCTACAAAAATAGCAGATAAATGATCAGTTCTAAAGTACCTATAGTGGAAATGGAAATTCTTAAAACTGCACCAGCGATTTTTTATAACTTATGGGGACTACAACTAAAAGGAGATATTGGTAATAGAAATAACAGCCTTGAGCTAAATCTACTATCTAGTTGGTCAAATCCCTTTAGGACACAAATATGAAACGAGAATCGGTGAGTTTGCAATTGTTACAATAAGACTAGGAAGAACAGAGATATAAATATGGTTTAAAGATGTAGAAGATCTAAACAATACCTGTGAAAATGTTTAACTGATAGAACAATATGGATACATGCAATTAAAGCAATTAGACTTGGAACTAATCTAGTGGTGTTCTCAGACACATGATTTATATTAAGCATTTTGCAAGATAATGTAGGTAGGTAGTTTGCAAAGTTAATTTTAATAATATAGATGTTGAAATATATTTTAAATACACTTGTCTAGGAAAGCTGACAGAATTTACTGGTTATTACCATTGGTAGAAATTTTAATTAACATTTCTAACTCTTCCAGGTTAATACAAGGTCTTTTTGTTGCCTCTCTAACCATTTTTTATACTATACAAACCACACTAAAATTTGTGCAACTCATAAATATATGTATTTAAAAATTGTTCTAGAAATATAATTGTTATGACTTAAATTTTGTGAAGACTATTCAAATGTAATTTACAATTAAATAAAGAACAAATTTAAAGGCTTTACATAATTTTAAAATTATGCAAATATTGATTTATATTGTTACGCTGGTTTTTGGTATCACAATTTATTTTAATTCAACTTTACAATAACTCAATTCAACTTTAACAATAACTTCAACTGATAACATTAACGTTTAACGTCAATCATAAAACTGCCAACTGACGTCAGGTCGTCGCCTTATATTCGCTCCGTGCGAAGTCATGGAAAGGGAAGCAAAAGCGATACTAGCGCTAGCTGCGGATAATTCGTGCATTTTAGGGGGATATTTTGTAATTTTGGCATATCAAATACACGTATACATTTTACTTTTTTTCAAAAAAGTAGGTAAAAACAACACAATAAGCAACCGGAGTTGCTGTGTTGAAAATTGTACAAATACTAGCAAAAAAAAACAGTGAAACTTATATAACAAATTTCACTAACAAAGTGGAAATTAAATCAAAGAAATAAATGGATAGGTGTACAATAAGAAGAAAAATTACCTTTATTTTTGTGATAATAACAGTAATGCTGGAAATAGTAGACATCAGAAACTAGAAAATTTTTAAATAAACAATAAATTATCATTTTACGATGTTCTTTAATATCCCTTTATTCTTAACTGTTCATTCAGCAAGGACTAGATTTCAAGATTTCTGCCGTTGATTATAATATTTGGCTGGTATGCAATTTTGTGACTTACTGATCGGAAACCAGTTTTAATCATTCATTCTATGTTTTCTTTAGAACAAAAATGAAAATATAAGTAGCGATCCTTTTTATACATTTTAACTTCACGCTATTATAAATGGTTTCTTCAATGACAACTTATTAGACTTAGGCAACTTCTCATACATTTTCCCGTAAATACTGTTGCCTGCCTATATTTTATTATTGATTTTTAATGATTATACATAATTTTCTTCAATTTAAGCGTGAAAAATATATATAATAATAAATTAATGTTTTAATTGTTTTATAAATCCATATACTTTTATTAAAACTAACATATATACTTTTTATTTACGAATTCTATTAAAAATTGTATTTGTCAGCATAGGCAGAAATAGTCCTTTAATACCAAAACAATTTGGCGCTGCTGTCGCGCACGGAGCGAATAGCTTGCCTCGACCTTCTACAATCTTCTCGAACAATCTGGACTTTTCTTTGACAAGGAATGACATTTCGAGACATTTCGGGAATATTCTATCTTCTTTATTTACTTGTACCTTTACTTATGACGACCGCAGCACGCTACAGGGTGCTGCGTAACAATATATATTTTAAATGAAATAGAAGAAATCATGGGAAAAGGTGATAAATAAACATTTAGATTTCTTGTAATATTTTTATTAATGTAAAAAGGATATAAAGTAATATTTTTATATGCATTACCAACTAAGTCTTCGTTTGTGTTTTGTCAATGCAGGATAGCTCAAAATCGTCTGAACATAATCGTATTCCTGCACTTAAAACATTAAAATTGTTCATATCCATACTCTTCAGCCATTTTTCCCAAAAGCTCCAATTCTATAGGGAACCTCAAATAACAAAAACGTTATTTAATTTAGTAATATTCGTTAAAATTCACTTCAATTTTCTCATTTAATTAAGAAATATTATTTGTATTCTTGTATGCTTGTATAATAATGTCTAAATTAGTAATTGTTTCAGTTTGTTCCGACAAAATAGATCTTTTAACAAATTATTATAAATATAATAGTTTTATTTACGAAGGGTACAGATATTGTTTTTACTTCGATTTCCACAATAAAAACACGTCTTCTTCGTAACTTGTTGACAATTAAATGACAAATGGAAATAGAGGTTGTTAAATAACATCCGGTCCGCCATATTATTTGCTCAAATCGGCCAATTTTTTGAAGCGGGGCTATATCTTATCCAGTAAAATAATACAGATCACTGGAGAGGACCCTTTGTTCCTAAAATCACGCGACTGGAGCCAATAATTTCGATCTAGTTGTGGCTAAATAAGCGCCTTATTACTTTAAATAACTACTAAAGTAGGGGGCACGTTTTAAATGTAAAATACCCTTCAGTCAGAATTTGACGAAATTTTGATGTTGTAAAACTTGACCAATGGATCAAATATCCTCGTTGTTCCAAAGCTCTAAGCTTAACACTTTTTGATTTACATAAAATTTAATAAGACATGGGGGACAAGCTGCCCCTTCCCAATTTAGTGGTAGAGATAGAAGTAAAAAGTGACAAAAGTAACAAAACTTTTATTAAGGAAAATTATCAAATACATTTTTTTTAATTCAATAAAATATAAAACAAACAAAACCTATGGTATTTACAAAAAAAAAAAAAATAATTTATTTGAAAAATCAATTTATCAATCTTGTTACACAATAAGATTATTTCATCTTTGTTACATATGCCAGTTAGTAGATTACATTTAAAAAGGTCTCCTAAATTGTAAAAATTGTAAAATATTTATTTGTAAAATTGTCTACATGAAACATATTATATATAAATATTTTTTTTTATATTTTCTATCATTTAAGCACAAGCACTACATATGTTTTGAATATTTTTTCCATCTTCTGGTTCAGTCAAAATTTAATAAGACGTGGGGGACAATTACAAACAATTTAAAAATTTTAAAATAACAGAAACCCCTTCTGGTGCAGTCAAAATTTAATTAAATATGGGGGACGATTACAAACAAGCGCCGTCGTGCGCCGCACGACCTACACATATTGTTTCAACGACCCTGGGTACACCAAAATGGAAAGCATTTGTATTGATTAACAACTAAAAAGCTTCTGTTTCAATTTCTTTCGGTTTAAGTATACAATATGCTCCCCCTTCTCAATAAAAAAGAGACAATTTAGTGGTAGAGGTAGAAGTAAAAAGTGACAAAAGTAACAAAACTTTTATTAAGGGAAATTATCAAATACATTTTTTTTTTAATTCAATAAAATATATAACAAACAAAAACTATGGTATTTACAAAAATAAACACAAATTTATTTGAAAAATCAAAAATGTTAAATTTTTTCTTATATTCTACATTAAATATAATGCATTAATAAATTAATGTAATTGGATTATTCAGTTACCACCAAAGGTCTCGGTTGCCTTTCGGAAACTGCCTAAGTGCAAAAAAACTCCATATATAGGTAGAGTATGCAACACGAAAATGTGGTGGTGAAGACAAAAAAACCTCAAAGTTTAGGTATTATAGTGAATAGTTATAATTAAGAGCAAACCGGACGTCTCGAAAAACAAAAAAATATTTTAAGGATTTTCTAATATTAAATTGTATCTATATGTGCTGATATTATGTGTCTTGAGAACATTGAGAGATTTAAATATGCAACGATAAGGCAGCACTCTACAGAGACGATTAAGACCAAAAGGTGGAAAATCCTCCCATTCAAAAACTAGATATTTATTAAAATAAAAATCAGCACAATTTCATAGATTTAATACAGAATGGGGCGTAAATGTTTTTTTAATTCCTTTTAAATATTTTCAAAATAAATACTTTTCGACGAAGGTATAGAAAAAATTCAAAGTCTCTCTACCCTAAAGATTGCTTTAGACTACACAATTTCTTGTACAAGATTTGATACAATTTCTTGTACAATTTAAATTGTGTAACATAGAGTAAATTGTTTGAAAAATCAGATTTTTTAAAACCATTTACTGTATGATACTACACAATTTAAATTGTACAAGAAATTGTATGAAATCTTGTGCAAGAAATTGTATAGTCTAAAGCAGTCTTTAGTTTTTTTATTGTTAATATTTCTTTAAAATTTTACATTATAAATTTTTAAGGTGTTCGGTAGGTTCCTAATCCAATTTCATTAATTCATTATCATGCCTCTAAGATATTAATGATTTTACTAATAATATCTGCAATAAGTCAGTCATATTACTAAATCTTATTTAAAACAAAAATATTTTGTACATTTGTAAAATAAAAACTATGGTAAAAATGATAAACAAACTTATTGTATAACATTTTCAAAATAAACATATTTAAATCATAAAAATTGAAGCACTTTATTTTAAAATTATATTCTGTAATAATAATGTAATGTATAAACTTTATTGAGTAAAATATTATTAATTATGACATATTAAATTAATGATAATCAATATCTTATAAATAAATATATAATTGAGGATGTATATAAAATAATTTTTTTTTTAATATCTAAAAATAGTTGGCTTAGCAATTGTGGGTCGTATCTAAGGAAAAACTTTCAAAGAAAAAATTGATAATAAATAGGTGAGTGCCAAATGATGAAAACTTAAACATGTATTTTAAAAACATGTTAAAAGTTTTGGGTGATCAAAAAATTTGAAATGCCGAAAAAGTAAAAAAAAAATGTGTAAAAAATATGTAAAGTTTTAATTACAATTATATCAATGTAAATTCATTATACTAAAAGAAATTATAAAAACATTTTAAAAATTTAAGGAACAATCAAAATATTGCAAAAAATTGTAAAAATTGGTATAAATAGGTAATACTTGTAAAAATTATTAAAATGATAAAAATCTATCAAAGGCAGTAAACATCTGTAAAAATAAGTAAAATATCTCAAAACTATCAAAAAATTATAACAAAAATTAGTAAGAAATGGTAACCATTCATATTAATTGATAAAAATTGGTTCACATTGGTTCAAATTTAAAAAAAAAATAAAAGTTGGTAAACAAATTTTAAAATTGCTTTAAATTGATTTAAATGGCTTTAAATTGATTTAAATTGGTTTAAATTGGTAAAAATCTGTCAAAAGTAGTAAGATGGGTAAGGATAATTTAAAATCTCCCAAAACTATCAAAAAATAGTAACGAATGATAAAAAATAGTAACCATTCCTTAAAATTAGCAATATTGGTGAAAATTGGTTCATATTGATTCAAATTTAAAAAAAAAGTTAAAAGCTGGTAAAAATAATTGGTAAAAATTGGTTTAAATTGGCTTAAATTGATAGAAATCTGTTAAAAATAGTAATATTTGTAAAAATATGTTAAAACTCTCAAAAAATAATAAAATTAGTAAAATTGAAGAACAATTTGTAAAAATTAGTCAAAATCTATAAAAAGTAATACCTGATTTATGGAAACTTGTAAAAAACTGTCAAAACCTATAGTAGAATACCACAATTGTAGATAGTGACTCATGTTGTAAAGAAATTGTATAGGCCAATCAAATAAGATGTTTACCCTGTACAAAAAAAGTTATTTTTAATAGTTGTTGCTTTTTTGAATACCAACAAAAGGAGAAATATTCAGTATTAATTAATAAACAAATTAGTGGGGTATTAAAAAATTTATTTAATCTCTAACGAATTTATAAAAACCTTCTTCTTCTACTAAAACCTTTTTCTTCTACTCACTCTTCAAAGACTATACGTTCAGATAATTTAAAAAAAAAAATAAGAAGATCGCTAATTTTTTGAATAACTAATTCATTTGTTTATTATTTACCTCCAGAACAGATATCATTTTGTTGAAATAATTTTAATAATTCGACTGGTCTATTTTTAAACTGTTCAAACGTCTTCCAAGCGATTAGTTTGCATCTTTATCTAACGGTAGATAATGTCCGAGATCCACACTGTCGTCGCAGATTAAAGCTATGTTATTGGCAACAATGCATTTGAATCTTGCTTGGATGTTATCGTTGAAGCGGTGTCATAGGCGCGCTGATAGGGATTTCATCAGCAGAGACAGGAATTGTTTTCAGATATTCTTTTAAAAATCGAACGAGGATCTGTTATTGTTATAGATAACGCTCCATACCACAGCAGGCGTGTAGAACAGTTACAAATCACCAAAAAATTGAATAAACATATCATATGTTATCAGAAATATTACAGTTTTTAATACGTTTTTCGTTAATATGGCAAATTTCTTTAAAAAACATGGTTTTGGCAGTTAAGCCAACTTCACTGAGACAGGGATCGTATATACATTTGAATTTATACAGTGAGCACCATAAGTCTTACCCCCCTATCTAGCTCATTACTGAAGTCTTGTTAGGAAAATCGCCGAGACACGTCGATTTTTGTTTTCTACAATGTACAATTTTGTATGAATAGTTTACCCTTAATTTCATCCCTTACTGGAGGGGAGCAACCCTTTTGAAAAATTTAAATGGCATGGGGTGGTGATTGATAGCTCATTTGAAAGAGAGTTTTATTTTCTATTCAACCGTGTAAAAAAATTTTGAAATTTGCTTCAATAATTCTCGACTAATTGTTGTTTCAGAATAATGGAAATTAACGTAGCGCACTCATCCTTAGAATTAAAATTCGGCCCTGCATGATTTCGGTTTTGGTTCAGACGTGAAGTAAGACTTTTTGCCATTAGAAGGTCACTGTTAGTTTAGTTGCTTTCCTATTTTGTGAGGTTTTGTTATTTTTAAACATCAATAAATCAACACGTAATGAAGCAAATTTAAAATTTTTTGCACGGTTGAATAGAGAATAAAACCCCCTTTCAAATGAGCTATCACTCACCACCCCATGCCATTTAAATTTTTCAAAAAGGTTGCTCCCCTCCAGTAAGGGATGAAATTAAGGGTAAACTAATCATACAAAAATATACGTTGTAGAAATCAAAAATCGACCTGTCTCGGCAATTTTACTAACAAGACTCCAGTAATGAGTTAGATAGGGGGGGTAAGACTTATGGTGCTCACTGTATATACTTATTCGATAATTATTATTGCCGGTTTTCCTCACCTTGTGCAACTTTAAAATAGGAAAAACCTTTTTGTGACAACCAATTCGTTCTAAAATGCGGAAGATCATTGTTAATAATAACCGCACGCCTATGACTCGTCGATTTCCTATCCCCTCAGACCCACAAAGGTCTATGTTAAAAATGTGAGTCACTCTCTACAATAGTGGTATTTGACTGTAAATAAAAACGGTAAGAAAATGTTCAATCTCAAAATAGTAAAAATGCCAATTTGTTAATTTTAAATATTGGTAAGGATGTCTAAACTACGTACAAACTTAAAAAATTGGCAAAATCTAAAAAATAAACTACAAAACAACATTTTTATGTAAAAAATTTTTAACAATTATAGTAAAATTGGTAAAAAGATATGATAATTACCAAAACACAATAATTAATCATATAATATCTATAAAAATTTAAAAAAATAGTAAAGGATTGCAAAGAAAATGGTAAAAATTTTAAAGGAATGATAAAAAACAATAAAGAACTGTGAAATCATTAAATATCTTATACTATAAGGAAATATTTTTCAAAAAACACAACATAGTTTCTTAGATACGACCAATAAATTATTTTAAATAAAACCAAACTGATCCAAATGATAATTAAATATGTATACAGTGCTAGCGAAAAGTTCCCTCCCCTCCTGTATATTTTAAACAGTTATACTTAAATTAATGTAATTTGGAATGTGAAAATTAATGGATATAAAGCTGTTAACGTTATCGTTATAGTTGGCGCCACATTGTCAGTGTGACAAAGAACCATTTTAAACGGGGTCCTATGGCAATTGACACATCGTTTTTAAAAAACCAATTCAACCATCATAATTTTGTTTGGATTTCAGTAATTTAAGTTTAATCATTCAAAAAAAACACAGGCGGGAGGTGACGTTTGGCTAGTATTGTATATTTTCTTCAAAAAGTCAAATTCTATTTTTTTCGTACAATTACTGTACAATCATCTCAAAGTCGAAACAGACTATTTTTGGCACGGGAACACAAACATAGTCCAAAGATGGCAGACCTAAATTAAATGACTTAACAAATTATGACTAAACTGCACTACATAATAAATAAATATTTCCAGACCTCCATCATCTCATTCAAAAATTTCTTGGTAATTGCTGCCTCAGCTCGGGTCTCAGCGATATTCCGTTTCCACCTTGATAATGATTCAATCCCAAAACCTTGGTGATTAAGCTCAGATCCTCAGAAGATTTCCCTCTAAAGGCTCCAGAGTTGTACAACAAGTTGCCCAACTGGAAATTATTGTGCCCATTATTATTCGGTGACGAAAAGGACCCTTCTAAGTTGGACCGAAAGAACCTTGTATTCTGCACTTGTTGTTGCTGCGCTGGTGGCTGCAAGAATGATGTCTGTGGTGGCTGAGGAGCTGTAAGTGAAGACTCCAAGTTAGATCTGAAAAATCGATTATTCTGAGCTTGAGATCCAAACGTATCTAGACTTATAGCTGGTTGAATTGAAAAACTGTTGGTGTTTCTATTAAAATTATTATTTCTATTGAAATCGTTAAAACCAAAATTTCCTACACCAACGTTTTGTCTAAAAACTCTATTGCTCTGATTCTGTTGATTTACATTGGAATTAGATTGCTGATTGAAGTTATTTGAGTTAGTTTGACCGTTAAAATTGTTGTTAAGAGCAAATGGTACTCTGAAATTGCTCTGATTCTGTTGGTTCAGATTGAAATTGGATTGCTGATTAAAGTTGTTTGGGTTGGTTTGACCGTTAAAATTGTTGTTAAGAGCAAATGGTACTCGGAAATCCACAGGTCCTTTAACAGGAAGAAATTGAGCGTTTATTGGTAATTTTCCAGCTTCTACCAAAGGATTAAATTGGACATTTTGAGGTTTAAAAGACTGTTGTTGGTTATTGAATGGAACTGCCTGTAGTTGGTTTAAAATTGGCCTATCTGTCGTTTGAGAATTTTGAGTTTTAAAACCTTGCTGTTGTTGGTTATTGAAAGGAAGTTGCTGCTGTTGGTTCAAACTTGGTCTGTCTGGATTGGTAATAGGTATGAAAGATTGAACATTGTTTCTAACTCGTAATTCCTCTTGTTGCTTCAAGAAAATCTGGTGTTGCTGCCTCAAACTTAAATTCAACCTGTATATCTCTTCTTCCAAAGCTTTTTGCTTCTGCTGCAATTGCAATTTTTCCTGCAGTTGCAATTTCTCTTGCTGTCGCTTCAAATCCTCCAACCGAATCTTCTCTTGTTGCTGTTGGCGCAATTGGACTTGTTCTTGTTGTTTCGCTTGTTTAATTTGTTGTTCTTTTTCTATAATGATGTCTTCTTGGGTTTTAGTCGGGATGTGCGTTTTGAATATTGGTTCTACTTTTTTTGGTAGGCCCGCTTCGTCTTGGTGGACTGTAAAAGCTGCTACTAGCGGGGCTGAGAAGAATTGAATGTTTTCCACTTTTGCTTCGTTTTCTTGTGTCGTCACTCTAGGTGCTGGAGTTGTTATTTTTTGCGATTTAGTTATATATTTATCGTTGTTGTAGATTGAATTTTGGTTGGTACTTTTTTCACCTTTTTCATCTTGACTCTCTTTACCGAAAGGTTGGTTGGCGAAATTGCTGCTAGCGCTAGTTTGAATACTTTCATTCTCATCAGCTTTTTCAATAGTAGTAATTGATGGTTGTTGATGACTTTCGCTTTTTTGAAATAGCACTGTAACCTGTTCTGTTGTAGTGCTAGTACTAATGGTACTAGTAGAAACTGGTGCTATAGTGACGCTTTCTCCATTGGAAAATATTGAGACCGACGCAGCTGATGCTTTTTCTACTATTTTTTCTCTAGTATCATCATCTAATGAAAATTGAGCTTTGTGACTTTCTTCATTTTCAAGCTCTGTTAAAGCTTTCAAGAGAGCTCTTCTGAGATTTGAGTCGAGGTTGATTTTGGATGAAAGAGATGATACATCGTTAGTTTCTTCAACTGCTTCCTCTGATAGAACGCCGAAGATGGTTGCAGCGATTACTATTAGATGGATCTGAAAAAGAAAGAGGATATTAATTCATTGTTTTTTAAATTGTCATTAAAATAAAAAAAGTGTTTCTCTCAAATTGCTAATAAATATTTTGCTAACTTCCTTCTTAATGATGTATTGTGCTACAAACTGTGTGACATAATAACAACATTTCTTCAATTTCTTCGGTCTTGCGGTCAAGAATAGCCGAAGGCGGCGATTGTCAAGTTTACAGTACAGTAGGAGAAATGATATTTTAATTTGAATAAACAGATAATTATCTTTGATATGTGTATAGGTAATTCATTCATTAATGTTTGTAAAAGTGAATACTAACAAGAATTGCTTGATTTTTGAATAATTATATTTAACGAGAAGGGTTTAAAATAGCTAAGTAGTTTATAATTCAATCATTTCTTTACATTTTTGAAATGAATTTATTTTTTTTAAGATCGTAAGGAATAGCTGCGTTATCAGAAAAACCTAGAACGTGGCCTTAGTTTGGCAACAATAGTAAAACTATATAAATATGTAAAGAATAAACCTGACCACATTTGAGATATGGATAATTTATCATTTCATTTATATATACGTAAATGTTAAACAAAAGAGGCCCTAGGACTGCACCTTACGGTATCCCAAATTAAAGTGTTTCAATTAGGACGTGTATCTACTCTTACACATTGCTGTCTGTTTATTAAATATTCTTTTTAAAAGTTTTAAACACGGTCTTCTAATTGTTTAAATAAGAAATCACCATAGACAATACCAAAAGCTTTGAATAAATCAATGAAAACAAAGGCACGATTTATTTTAATTCAAGGCGTTATTAATATTATAATTAAAAAAAATTGGGCGGCGATAGTTCTGATAGTGGTTCGACTTCTTTTCTTGAATTGTAGTCAGTGCAAGCATGATATATATGAAGAACACCTAGAAGATTACAGCATTATGCATTCTATAATTTTCTATGCACTTAAAAGTATACATTTAGTATTATTTTTCTTCAAAATTAGGGCTTTAACAAAATTAAGTTAGTCAAGTATTAATGTTTGTCTAAAACGCTCCAGTATTCTAGGGTTAATAGAAAGTTCTCCGGTAACTGAAAACTGGTTTCGCAAATTTCAAAAGTATTATAAAAAAAAAAGAAAAAACAAACAGACACGCCAAAACAAACAGCCTTGTTGTGATATTGTTTGCAATGCGAAAGTATCTTGTTGTCGAGAGTGAAAGTTATCCCATGTCGTTGTCGGTGTCGTGGTCTCGTACCTAGTAAGTAAGCGGATGCGCCGTTCCATATACAGAGTATTCCGGATTCCTACAGTGTTCTTTTGAATATTAAACGAGTTTTTTCGCTTCCGATGATGCAACTCATTAAAGGAGCGCGTCTGATAGAATTTTATGGCTGAAATGGATGGACATAAAACGTTGTATAAGCGTTTGGTAACTGCGTAGAACACTTGCACGCATTTTTATTTTCTTGTGTCCAGTAAGGATTTTTTTGGATTCAAAGTTTTCGACGGATGTTTGCGTTTTGGGACCCCCTAAATACATTTTTTGAAGTCTGTCAGTGTCATATCTACCTACTATATAAACTATAAACCAAAAACAAATAAATATAAGAAAACCCTTTTGTAGGTAGAAAAAGACAAAACTAAGACGAACCAGAACTACAAACATGTTATTATATTAATTACAGCCATTGCAAATTCTGAGATAATTGCTCCATAGTATCTTTTGGACAAGAATATTTAAAAATAATCACTTCATGCATTACATGGTTTTACATGGTTTTAGATTAAAAGATTAAGATTCTGCAATTTATTTGTATTGTAATTTTGTGAAATGTAGATAATAACTAAAAGAAAATAAAGACGGAAAACATAAGAACGAATAAAGAGTAAAGTACCAAATTTTAAAGTAAGTACTGGGAAATATGTTCTCACCAACTTCAAATATTGACATTTGTCAATTTATGAAAATACTTCCCAGCTAGCACATAACGTTGCCAAGCCTTTCGGAGATGTTATTTTAAGGGACCGTAATAACATTACCATACAACGTAATTGCAACGTTCATGAGAAGTTGTTGAGGGAAATCAAAACCTCGCGAAACATCTATTTGTTATGATAACACAACGTAATAAAGTAATTTGCTAAAAAAGTATCCACGAGAAGTACTATAAACATGATCTTGTGTTCGAACGTAGCCATTCGTTTGTCATAAGTCAACAAAACATCAAAAAATGTCACTTGTCATTTTTTTGTGGTATCTATTTGAGAATTTAAAGAACTTGTAATTTTTAAACTATTTATACGTTTGAATAAGTTTGGTAGGTTCTTTTCTTCTTTTCAATAAAGTAGAAACTTATTTTCTAATTTATTGTCTGTTGTTTTAGATTGCAATATTTCAGTTTCCAACTATAATAAAAATAAATCATTGTAAACGAGAAGATATAATTATATAAATTTTGATCTCATTGTTCCAGTTTATACACTGCGCAACTCAGATAATACAATATATGACAACCGCTTATAATAAAACAGCAGTCTTCTGCGTATGATGAATTTGTATCACTGGACTGGATGTTATTTTGGAACTTTCAACTGATCCGAGTGAGCTAACTGATTCTTTAGCAATAAACTGTGACTCCAAAAATATTATTCACTGACACTCACAGCAGCAAGCAAAATATCAGGTGCGTTTTAATAATCCGCTTCTGCTTCCGGAATTGTCGGTTTAAAGGTCGGTTTAGTCGTTTTAACCTGTCAGATTAAAACAAGAAAACTGACAATTCCGAAGCAGAAGCGGATGATTGAAACGCACCTATTAAAAATATTGCGCCAAGATGTAGGCAGCACGTAATAAGGGATCAAAATGACGGAGTTTTCTATCTCCTTTTAAAAGGCACTCAGAAAGCTGCGCAGTGCGACCCTTGTGCGACCATTCTCCATATAGTAAAAGAAAATCAAAGTACATGAGTGTAATGAAAGTTGACGCTTAAGAAAATCTATTGAAATGTCATAATTTGAAAACTACTTATTGTATGGCACATACTTTGATTTTCTTTTACTATACGGAGAATGGTCGCACTGCGCAGCTTTTTGAGTGCCTTTTAAAAGGAGATAGAAAACTCCGCCATTTTTAACCCTTATTACGTGTTGCCTACATCTTGGCGCAATATTTTTAATAGGTGCGTTTTAATCATCCGCTCCTGCTTCGGAATTATCGGTTTTCTTGTTTTAATCTGACAGGTTAAAACGACTAAACCGACAATTCCGGAAGCAGAAGCGGATGATTAAAACGCACCTGATATTTTGCTTGCTACTGTCAGTGTCAGTGAATTTTATTTTTGAAGTCACAGTTTATTGCTAAAGAATCAGTTAACTCACTCGGACCAGTTGAAAGTTCCAAAATAACATCCACTCCAGGCATACAAATTCAGGATACGCAGAAGACTATTGTTTTATTATAGGCGGTTGTCATATATTGTATTATCTGAGTTGCACAGTGTATAAACTGAAACATTGAGATCAAAAGTGCCGACGCAGAATGAGCGATCTGATTCTTTAGCTGTAAACTGTGTCACAGGGTTCAAAATGGCCGCGCCCTATGTTGGGCGTGTCGGACCTCTTTCTTGCCTCAAAGTATATGTTGTATGGACTTATCTCTGGTATGGACATAAGTCGGTCTACAAATAAATTCTGTCCCTAGTTAGTTCTATGAGTATTTACACAAAATAGTTTAATCTGCCTAGTAAGTCTGGCAGGAACAAGGAATCTAAAAAAATATACCAGGCTGTCACTATCAATCAAACCGTTCAATAACTTATACAGGAAAACAAGCAATGTCTGACATCTGCATTCCAAACTCTTAAGTCCGCTCAACAGAATTCTGGTTTGGTAATTTATATTTTGCAATGGAAGCCTATGTTTATATAATAGATATTTCGAAAATTTACTTTGCAATTTTAAATTTATCAATATGACAATTGTAGTTAGGTGCCCAAATCACTGAGCAGTATTCTAAAATGCTTCTAACTAAGCAGTTGTAGAGACTCTTCAGAGCTGCCATGTCATAAATGTGCTTGGTGTTCCTTTTGACAAAGCCCAGCAGTCGAAAAGCTCTATTTACAATTTCTTCCAAATGAGGAATAAACGATAGGTCTCTGTGAAAAATAACATCAAGATCATTTATAGTTTGCTCAACACTTAGTTCAGAACCTGCAATGACATAATCATGCATAATGATATTAGCTATTTTATTAAAACCTATGACTTTACATTTATCGATATTCAGTTTAAGCAAGTTATATCGTATTAAAACTATGATTAGTACCAGTTGTAGGCAAATATGTTTCTTTAGCATCGTACATCTTCCATTTTAATAAAAATCTAGTGACCTTTGAAATATACCTTATATAAATACTCTTTTTACTACTTTTGTAAAATCGTTCACCATTTTAGCTACTAGTGAACCTTTGCAATATAGGTACCTTATTATACTCTTTCGTGCAAGCGTTCAGTCTTTTCGATTCTAGTGAACCTTTGATATATTCCTTATAAACCCTTTATACCTACTTTTGTCCAATTTGTCAGTGTTTTATAGTACCTTATGGTATCACACATATGTGTAATTGTGTTACCTATATTATTAATACCTACCTATACTTGTATGATATTGGTACTTGATTTCAAAAGCTTTTTAATAATAAATTTATACAATTTTTTATTTTGTTTTCTTCAGATTTTACTATTTCCTCAATATACTATTTTACATATATTGTATCCAAGGATAGACATAACTATACTTGTAAAGATATTTATTTTAAATTTTTCAAAAAAGGTCTTTTTAATAATTTCTCAACGTTAATCGTATTTATTTAACAAGCAAAAGAAATTATGAAGATGTAATTTTAAATTTAAAATAAATATTTTTGCAAGTATTGTCAAGTCTATCCGGTGGACACACTGTATAATGCTGTAGAATAAATTCACATTATAACATCTATAAAACGTTTCAGA